TGTAAATATCACAAACTCATTGTAATCATCTGATAATATATTGCCAAATAAAAAATCAGATTAAAACTGGCAATTGGTCCCTATAGGTGAAATGAATTACTGTAGATATGCATATCATTGTACAAGGCAAGAAAGAATAGTATGAGGATGAAATACAAGAATAATAGTTAAATATGTTAGAACACAATGATTGATAAAATAAAATCTTGACAGTAATATAATTATATATAGTCATTACATCATTATTTTTAAGGTACTACTTAAATAGACTGGTCCATTTGTACAAAATAGGAAAAAAACTTTTTGGAAATAATTTTTATAAATTATCATCCTTTAGATCATCTTTTTACCACAACGCTAGTTAAATAAAAATAAATGATTTTTATCATTTCAGAAGTGGGGGTCCTGTTCATAATATTGATACAGTATAAAACTGATCTCTGACTTTTTGCAGAATTATTGGACATACATAAACAGACTTTATTTGTTACAGTGTTATTCTACATATGAAAACAGACTTTTATTTCACTTTTTTTTAACTAGAAGATTCCTTTTAATTAAAGAACAAATGAATATGTATATTTTTAATTAAAGAAAAAAGTTTATAATTAAATAAAAGTATATATCTGTTTATTCTTCATTTAAGAAAAAGTAATTATCATCTCCCCAATGTTTATGCATGTGTTCCCAAAATAATCCCACTCCAAAAAAATTTTAAATGCTTTAAAAATTCAGAAAAAAAAATGCAGATATCAATGATGTAAACACAGTTTAAAACCTGACATTTGTAAATAACAGCAAAGTTTAATAACTCTGTAAAAGGTTAGGAATCCATTTAACACTGTATCAATATTATGAACAAGACCCCCACCCTTCTAAATCGAAAAAAATTCATATTTTTTGATTCTGACAAATATTGCAGCCTGAGGAATGTGTAAAGAAGGCTAATGAACAAAAATCCTTACTCCAAATAATCATTACTCCCTATTTTTTACGAGTGGACTTGTCTATTTAAGTAGTATTTTTTTTAAAAATAGCAAATTAAAGATAATTACAGCATAGACAATGAATATGTAAACTAAATCTATAAGTCTCACACATGTTTATCTTTTACAATCTTCCACATAAAGCAACACTGTTAATATGTAAAATACAGAACATAATAGCAGTTTTTAGTTAGCCTAAAGGTTGAGCGTGTGAGATTGAGGTTATTCAGCTTTGACATGCCACCAAATAATGAATGGAGAACATGCTGATTGAAGCATTGTAATGACAGTAAATAAAGATATTGATATTAGTCCAAATACTTGACATTAGAATATATCACTTGATAATATATAAAAATTCCATGCATTTATTCATTATGAAAAAAGAAGCATAGGGAGAAAGACAAATCTTATTTTGAACAAACATTTTCAAAACAAGGATGGCTGTTCAATAAAAATTAATGATGAAGTTTTTGCAAACCATATAATAATTTTTTTTTGCAACTTTGAAATTGCAAGCAAATTATAAAATTTTCATGTTTTAAAAAGGAAAATCTTCAAAGACATTTGTTCAATAAAATAAGAAACACATTTTTATTATTTTTTTTAATAATTCAACCAAAAATGATAATTACATTAAAAATGGCAGAAAACAATCCATAAATATAAAAAAAATGTCAGATTAAAAAATTAAATCTAATAATAATAATAATAAAAAGAAAAAGTAATTTTTTTGTACATTTTAACTAAAAAAAATCAAAAAAATTATAGGCTTGAAATATAACTGCCTTGCTCTAAGGCTGTGTACACCAGGCCTCTCAAATCTTACACTACCTCTGACCAGTGGTATTCTAAGAGACAAGTCTATCAATGGTCAGTGGTAAGGAATCCTCTGATCTGCTATTTGTCAGTTATATGCTGTCAAATTCAGCTGTATGCATGTTTTGTTTTGAGTGGCAAATTACATTAAAATTTCAATTTACCACTGATAATTGAAGACTTAGCTTACCATTGTCTAGTGGCATGCAAAATCCATATACCAACAACTATTTTTTATTGGTTGCTGATCAAATATCAATATCAATTACCTTTTGGCCAGTGGTATCAAGCCAGAATCTACCATTGACCATTGGTGTTTATGTCTCTACTTTTCACAAACCAATTCTACACTAGCCATCAAAGAACAAATTGGCAGTTATTGAAGCCATCAGTTAGGAAGAAAATTCAAATTGATGAAAAAAAAAACTTCTGATAAACTATAAAAACAATGTTACTGACATTACATTTTTAGGCTATTTGCTATAAGAGAAAAATGTCAGTAAGCCAAATATGCAATGATACTAAAATAATATAAAATATTACTAAATAATACAAAAAACTAAGAGTTTTATTATTTATAATACTAAAACTTCTAAATAATAAAATCAGAGAAATGCAAAATCAATACTAAATGCAAAATACTGAAGTACCAAATAAATACAAAAATAATGCTAAAAATATTAAATAATGAAATAATAATACTATATATAAAAATATTGAATAATAAAAAATTCAATCCAAAATAACAGTAAACCAAAAAATGAAGGCTGGTCTTTTCTATACAGGAGTGTAATCAACTACCAATGTGTCAGCAATTGCCTGCACCTTAAAAAGTTTTCTTAAAAATTTAGGCTTAAAAATTCAAAGTGAGCTATAGAAGTGGAGACATTATCAGTAAGTTGCTTGCCTTTAAAATATTAAAAAGTAAATATGACTTTTATTGGAGGTGAAAAATTATTTCACTTCTACAAAGTCTCAAGAAACAGTGATCACTGGAGTACCTGAATAAGTGCAAATATTGGCATTTCAGTAGATCCTGTCAAAATATCTTTTAATGATGATGCTACATGATGAGGTTGCACATCATAAAATTTTCTTTGAATGAGCTTTTTAATAAAACTATTGTTTTTAAGTTAACTATATTTAGAAACCTGCAATGAAGTGTAAAATATTTACTGATACTTTTGGAAGTCCAAGCTATGTTGCTGTATCTTTATAGAAACTATTTTTTGTGATAACCTTGTCTTGTATGCTGCAAATTTTCATTGTTAATGTAAGTTTTTCTGCAAGTAGCATTTATTTTTTTCATTTTCTACAATGTCTAAAATTTCTTTTGTTTCATAGTTATGCTAACAAAAGTTACAGATAAAAAGTATGATAGAAAATGTGTGTAAAACAAAATAATTAAGGCCTTAAAATCATACAAAATTAGAATATGTAGTAAAAGTTAAAAAATGAATATTGGCTGCTATCAAACATTTTCAAGAAAAAATACAATAGACAAAAGTATTCACGACTAGTAAAAATTATAGTACAATTTGAAAAAGAAAATTACTTATAAATATTGATTAATTAAATATAAATATAAAAAATTAAAACACTAAAAGTATACTAATAAATAAATTTAAATTATCTGTGGAGTGTACAAAATATTATTATGGCTTTATAAATGGTAGTCACATGATATATAGAAATATATTAAAATGAAGCTCTTCCTCCCATTTTGTTTTAATATATTTGTATATACTAGGTGTATATATATACCCTTTTAAAATATTCAGTTTTAAAACAGTAATGAATAAAAAATTATAAAAAATCATAATTAAAAATTATTAGTCATGTTATAACTGTAAAATATTTATGCATAGCACAAACACAGTATGAAAATAGATCTTTTAAAAAACAATAACAAGTCATTTTACTTAACTTTCATATTGAATATAAATGGCACTTTTAAAGCATACCTTCAACTCAAATGAACAAAAAGAAAATAAATTGTTTAAAAACAAAATTGCTGTTAAAGATCTTGACAGCACCATACAACACAAAAAGGATAAAAGAGATTCATGTTGAAAAATGTCAATATTTTTAACAGCAAAATGGTTCTGAATAAAATAAAGTTAAAACATTTATGCAAAATTAACCTTTGTGTCCACAAAAACATGGCATGTCAAAAGGACATTTAATTCCCTTGACACCATTTTTACTGCACGTTTTTGACTCTTTCAGCAATGTCTATTGTTTTAAAAAGTGGTAATTAGAATTTTAACAAAACCCAAACATATGAAAATGGATTTATATATTTTCTTTACATTTGAAAATTGACAAGAAAGATATTAAACACTACTTATTTATTAGATTCAATAAAAAATTTGTTTTCATAGTTATTTATAAAATGATAAATAATAAATATTGCATTGTAGTTGGTTTACAATATTTTGATAATTTTGTAATTTTTTTATACGTTTTTGAATAAAAAAAATTTCTTTACAAATTTCTTTCTTCATAAAGGATAAATAATAAATCTTTATAAAAGGTAAATAATAAATATCATCTTATATTTGGTTCACATATTTTTATAATCTTGTAAATGAACAGTGCTGACGGAGTCAAAAGTGTATACCATAATAGTGATGTCAAGGGAATAACTAGTCCTTTCAAAACACCATGTTTTTTGCAAGCATGAAAGTTAAACATTGCCAAAAAATTCATCAATAAAACAATTAATTTGAAAACCAGAGCTCACCAAAAGTAATTACTATAAACAATTTCTAATTTAAAGCAATTCAAATTAATTACTAACAAAAAATCTTTGTTTAAAAATTTGAAATATATCTTACAGGAAAAGTATTTTGAATAAAACAAGTTAGTAATTTGCTGGTATATAAAAGGATTTAAATAAACTAATACATTTATAGTAAAAATGTGTATAAAGAAGAATGACAATTTTTTATTTTTTATTTGTATTTTTTGGAGGTGGAGGTTTTTTAAAAGTGGAAAGGATTTAAAAATTTGAATATTGATCAGCACATCAAATTTAATATTGATTTATTGAAAGACTATTTAGGTAGGTGATTAACACTATCAGCTATGGTGTTTGATTATTAATTTTCAAAACGTTTAGTTAATTCATTTTTGATTAATCATTCATTAATGAAGAAAGTAAAAAAGTTCAAGTGTCATAAAAAGTGTAACAAGATACAGAAAGAAGTAAATTGAAGGAAAAGAGATAGAAGGAAATGGTAAATGGAAAGAAAAATTAATAAAAGAAAAAGAAGGAAAAGTAACAGTAGGAAAAAGTAGGAAAAAATAAATGGAGGGAAAAAGAAAGAAAAATAAATAGAAAGAAAAAGAAATCAATGAAAAAAATAAAAGATAAGGAGAAATATTTCTATAATGTAGAGAAAACCACATTTCTTTTCAAAATAGAGTCAATGATTTATTTAAAAAACATTCCAATCTACTAAAAGAGTGCATTTTTAAGTAGTTGCATTTAAAAAAAAATTAAATAAAGTTATATTAAAAATTTATATATATATATATATATATATATATATATATATATATATATATATATATATATAAAATCATTGGACTGAGTCTTTAACATGGACTGAGTCTTTAACATTAAATCATAAGAATAAAATAGTCATAAATGATACTAACCAATGAATGGTTATTAGAACTTTAAAGACAAACTGAAATGTCTAAATTAAGAGATGAGTCATTATAAATGTAAACCAAATTTTAATTTTTGAGAAGCCTTTTACTCATTATAGTTATATGCTAATTCTTCTGAGCCAGTTTCTTTGCTTTTGAGATCTCTATCCTAATATTTGTTCTGTTGTACACTGGCAGGAATGTATGATGGTTAACGTAATAGCTATTGTCATGTAGAATTCAATTCCCACTTAATTTTGTCCACCTTGCGCTAATGCCTTTGGAAAAGGCCATGAATATATATATTTCTTCAGCTATGAGTTAAATAGAAGAGTAGACTAGGCTCTCTTGCCTTGAAGTGGCAACCAGTGTAAGAGAAGAGAAACTCAAAGTTCAAAATCAGCCTGAAGAGGGTTGGGCTGTCAGGCTATCTTGCCCAAGACACACCCACTGCTGTTATGGCTGCAGTATATGTGGAGCACTTAAAACCAAGATGGGTTACAGGACGCATGGTGTGACATAACATGACATACTGTTATTGTAAAGGTGTAAACATAGGAACTTTGAACAGATTTTTTTCTTTGATCTACATAGGTAAGTTATTCTCATTGCTTTATCTGTCATATCTAGTGTTATTCCGAAGGAATTTCAGTATTTGTGGCCATCAATTCTTTATTATGATACCACTACCTCACCACTGAGCTGTGTATATTTTTGTACTACCTAATCCAAGGATTGAACCCATGATTTTTAGGGAAATAGATTTGCTTTACTATCATTTTTATCTATGAATATATGTCTTGTAAAACACTCTAGTATTTTTTTATGTTTATTTTTTAAAAGAAAGAATAGACTTAAGGTTTCCAAAACCACTGAGTACTCTATGGGACATGGCTTCATTGATAAAAAGTGCTGGTAAAGCTCCTCTAGTTTTCTAAAAGTCATAAGTTTAACCCTTGAATCAAGAAGCACTGGAATCTGCACTAGCTTCCCGAGTCCCATAGACTCAACTGAGGAGGATGGGGCCACAGTACTGCAACATGTTTTGTTACAGTGGTTTCTGTAGCAAGTAGATTTTTATGGGATGGAGACTGATTGCAAAGGCTGAAGAGCCTAGTCTGCCCTACTTTTTAACCTATAGCTGGTGGGAGAAGAGATGGATTCATACCTTTTTTAAGGGTATTTGTGCAAAAGTAAATGTAACAAACTCGACTGAAATTCAAACTCTGTTTGCTGATTTCTCATTCTGAGCAGGCCACAAACCATTACACCACCTGTGCATCCCTACACTAGCTTAATGACATTATAAAGAAGAATTAAAGTTATGAGTTATGAAATTTCAAAATGAACACACCAGATATGACAGGTGTTATGTCTCATCTAACAAGATGGTTAGTCTAGTTTTTTGAAACTGCAAAGATCTGTAACTTAACTTCCTTGTTTTATAAGTGGTATTGCTATAAGAAACCATAACATCACTAGCAATTTTAGACATAGCATGTTAAATTTCTTTTGTTTTTTTTTTTGTTTTACTCATTGACATGAAGTAAGTAAAATTTTAGCTCTCTTGTGGGGGGGTGGCTGAAAGTAGTACGCCAGTCAGAGGTAAGGTTTTGATTTCTGTTTGCATTAATATCAATCTACCGTCCACTTGAACTTAATCTCTGCATTAAATCTGTGGGAATACTCACACATTTTTTGCTAGGATACCCACTAGGTGTTGATCTATTCAGGACTATAATAGGAAAGGGTATAACCTTCCCTTTCTCTTCTTTTTGCTCTGCAAGGTAGCAACAACAAACATTCTTCCTCTCCAAGGGGACTTCTCAGTACTTGGCAAACTAAAGAGTTAATTTCAAACAAACTATGGGGTGGACATCACACACACACAGTATAGCTAAGTACATAAACATTTTCTTTTCATCTTTGAATGATCGCTATACATATAAATATCATTTCTCTTTCTCTTCTTTTGTGAGCTATGTTGTACTTTATATAAACTGAATCATCCTCATTCTCTTCATATTCCACTAATTAGTTCTACTTGGACAGTTTCTTCCCAAGAACTGTTGCTTGCTTTGTGGCAAGATGATTTCCCAATCCCTACAATCTGGACCTCTTCAAGTTTAGGGTTATCTTTCTTACATAACCTCAAGAACTGCACTTCTTGACTTTTCTTATGTTCATACAACAGCACACAGTAATCCTCTACCTTGAATGACTCTTCAACCTTGGGTGAACATTAGTATAAAAAAGAAAAATAGAATTATAAAAATTTCTACAACTGTTGAAATTCACTTCTTTTGAAAATCTTAAATTCGTACCTCTTCGAAATGTTGTATTTATTCTTTTTGGAACTTCTCAACTTCTTCATACAAATTTTTAAACAATCACATCAATTACAAAGTAATACTTTCTGCTACAAACAGATGATCAACAGCAATCTTGTCCAATACAAATTATGGTACTATTTGCTACAACTCTAACAAACCTTGTACAATAGATACATACAATATATGTATGATAAACATTCTATTCTATTCACCAAATATTTAGTGTTTCTTTGAACTTGAAATTCTTAAATATCGCTACAATATTTCTTTGACTATTGTTATTAAATTATTTTATTATTAGTTCTAGTCAGATGTGTTGTCATTTGAACTATTTCTTCATTGGATAACCTACACAGTATGTATGTTGTATACTAGCCCTGTTGACTCTCTTGTGGAGTATAAGGCCATAACCTCACTATGTTAGAAGTCTTTGTTATGTTTTTACAGGGTGGAGTAGTTAACCCCATACCCCCTGGTTTTGAATTCACATATGCTTTTCTTATATTGGTTGCCAACCCAAACTATTTAATCTTTAGCTAGGAAAAGAAGAGATGGTATTCCAATTGGGTTTGTGTGAAAGCGAATGCAACAGCCTCAACTGGAATTTCAACTTGGCATACCAATCCCACTTTTTATGCCAACAATTGCTATGCTACACGCACAGATCTGTTGGCATGATAGTTTTTATTAAATTCCGATACTTCCACATTGTTAACCCCATTTTTTTAGCCTACATCTTATTATGGCAAACAGAGTTTTCTAAATTCCTCAAACCATCTCCACACATTTTGTATAATACAGGCATGGGAATGAAAAGATATGTGGGTAGTATGATGGTTATCAGCATGTAAAATGAAATTGGCAAGTCGAGTTCAAATTCTGGCCTTGTCTGTTATGCTCACATTTGCATTAAAGAAATCTGTGGAGAGCCATGATTGCCTACACCCTGAAGTAATATGGCATTTACAAAGATGAGAAAGATAATAACATATACTTGAAGAATAAATAAAAAGTTTTCATTGAAGTTCAAAGGGAATATTATAGACATCTGAGGAAGGTCAGCAAGTACAGCATTTGAGATGTTGGGATAAAGACAACTAAAACGAAGAAACTGGCTTGAAAGAATCAATGGATAATAGTAAGACAACTTGTCTCAGAAATTCAGACAATATTTGTCCACATTATTGTTAGCAAATAATTCCTTGTTATCTTTTTTCTTTCAGGAAATATTATTGAAATAATTTAACTGTGATAAAAAGACAACTCAGGTTCCAGGCAGTGAATCAGTTTTTTTCCATCCAAACCCAAATTAAGGTCTTGTATGATTGTCATTTACAAGTACCTGATTTAAGGAACAACAGAATCATATTCCAGAACCTGAATTTAAGTCAATAAAACTTTCATCACTAATTAAAAATCCCAGAAAAAAAGATTTAAGTAGGAAATTTGAACGTTAAGCAAAATAGCTTCCCCTTGGTGCAACATTCATTTCAAGGTAGTTATTTTTTTTCCTGTTGTTATTACTTTCTGAATAAGAGTTTTTCTGTGATGGGGAAAAAAAGATCACTCAAAAATGTAGAAAGATTCTGTATAATATTTCACATACCTCATAATTTCTGGTATGTAATGTCTATAGTGAAGGAGAAAGACAACCAAAACCAAACCAAGCTTTCTACTCATTTTAGAAGACAGAATACAAATAAGAATCCTTTTTGTTCTTTCATTATTTTTTTATATCAATTTTTCATTTTAATATATTTTACACAATGATCTTTCAAATTTTACAAGAATGTGACAACAGGGAAGCAATTCACCAAATGCTGATGTTCATAAACAGGGCTGTTGTGTACCCCCCCCCCCAACCTGATTGGGGGTTACAGGCTTTGTGACCCTCGCTATCTTATCAACATTTGTTTTTCTACCTACATTTATATACATTACAAATTAAACTAAGTACAATTGACTATTAAATGATGAAAATTTTTTTTGATTTTGATGTCATTCTGGTGTCTTTTGTTATTTTGTCCATAGCCATGAATTTTTTTGGTCAAGCTAAGTCTTAAAAAAAAAAACTATATAAAATTCACTGTTTTTATCCATAATGTTGAATGTGTTAAAATGCTTAAATTTTTTAACAAGAAAATTGCTGCAAAACATTGTTGATTTATTTAAGATGGAATGATCTTTTATGACGTGTCTCTAATTTGTAATTACATACATTGTAGTTATTTTTAATTTTTCCAGTTGAATTGTTCACATATGATTCATTATTGTACATAATTAGGTTACAATAAAATTTGTATTTTATATGAATACTACCATATGACAATTGAGATGTAGTAGACTGGGGGTCCTTGTATCATAGATTCTGGGGTGGGAAACAACTGGCATATATCAT